GATTTGATCATTTTTAAAGGTTGAAACCATTCACTGCAACATTTCCTAAACCAGGGGTAGCCAACCTGCAGCATGTGTGCCACAAGTGGCATGGGCAGCATCTGTGTGTGGCACGCAGCTGTCTGGGGAGGGGACTGGCAGATCTGGGAGGGAGCAGAAAGCAGAGCAGCGGATCAGGCAGAGGAAGGGGATTAGAGTGGCATTTCGGGAGGGTACCGGGGCTAATTTTTGGCATGACTGAAAATCCCAAAGGTTCCTGGCTGGAAGGTTTTGCCCCTCTGCTCAGGGTCAGACTAACTGGACATTTGGGACCAAGAAGACTTTTCTCCCATGGTCAGATCGACCTGGCCCGTGTGTGTGCTTGGGGGCAGGGGGGTTGCCTTCCTTGGTAGTGGGGGCATGGTCCAACAGTTCCTTGTATCTCTTGAGCATCTTTTAACAAACTGCTTCCTGCCCTTGCAGTGGCTGGATATTGACTGTGCCGTTGTCCCCCTGCTTTAGCTGTGGCAGGTTTGGGTGTTCTTGGTGTTTTGGGGCATTGTGTCTGATGGAGGCAGAGGGTTGTTTGTGCAGTTTTAAGAATTGGTGAGCCAAACACTTGTCTGAGATGGCTTAGATAGCGACGATCCTGCCTTGAGCAGCTGGTTGGACTAGATGACCTCCTGAGGTCCCTTCCAGCCCTAATTTTTATGATTCTATGAATGTTTTATAAGTTTGCCAGCAATGAGAGAGCAAGGGAGCACTGATGATGAGTCCTATGGGTCCCGGGGCTGTCACTTTGGAACACCCTGGGGACACCTTCTTGGTGTAAATCAGTACATTGCATTTTCCTGTCTTCCCCACCCCCCCATCTCTCCCCACCCTCATGTGGCACTTTTCCCTGTCTAACAAAGCCTGATCTAAAAAATTTCTCACTCATGTCAACCGAGGATAGAGGAGGAGGAGAAAGCTCCCGCCTCTTCCATGTTACTCACTGCGGATCGCAATGGGCTGATTGAGAGGGGAGATAGAAACACGGGCCAACAGAGCGAGGGATGTGCAAGCAACGTGTGTTTTAAACCTAGGAACACATGGAGTGTCAAACACCTAATTAATGACAGGGTAATGTGAGTGATTGCAGCATGTTCAGATATTGGCAGTAGGGGCAGGGGTTTGATGGCATCTACATACAGGCAGGAGGCATTTGGGCAGCATTAACAAGGCTGTCTTTGACATGCAGCCAGAGCCCTGCACTGCCCTGCACCTTGCCTTCCCCTTGGAGGAGCAGAGACTCTTCCTCCTTCAGTGGCCGGGGTGGATGTCTGAGCCCACTGGACTCCCTTCCAGTTTGCCCTAGGCTCTGACGGGGCCAAGACTCCTTCCCACGCCTTTCCCAGCTCTGGTTGCTGCTCACACACGGCTCCCAGGCCTTGACAGAAGGCTGGGGCTCCATCCAGCCCACAGCAGCAGCAGTGACCTCAGTCACGTGTGGAACGGGAGGCGGCCGTGGCACGGGTTGCAAGCTGGAGCCAACTTGGCTTCCTCTGTGCTTGGGAAAGGGGCGGTGGAGGGGACAAAACTAGAGAAACTGGGAGTAAACAGGGCTTGAACAGGGCCCCAGGTAACTCAGTTCTAGGCTAGTTTTGCTGATGAGAGCGGCTGGAGTCGGACCGTGTTTGCAAAGCACTTTCTGTCTGGTTACCCAGACATGACACTGGCTCCCCAGTGTTTCCTACCTGAGATCCCTGTGCTGTTCAGCCGTAAGGGCAGGGCAGGTTGTTCCTACTAATGCCTGTACAGCTGGTTTCAACCCCCTCCTGATGAGACCCTCTGACTTAAGTGCTGCTAGATTTGCAAGGCCTTTTGGATAGGGGCTGCCTCTTCCAGGAAGGTCCTGAGCGCAGCTTGAGGAGATCAGTAAAGCCTCCCTCTCTTACCCCAGTACCTCCTCACTATCCCCAGTGGCCTCACGCCTGCTTCATGCCCCTCTGAGCACATCTGCATACACAGCTGGTGCAGCATGGAGGCACTCTACGTAGCTCTCAAGGAACCAGCTCAGGTAGGTGCAGGACACAGGCCAGCAGGGCCTATTTTCTCTGCTGAGACACCAAGACAAACTAGGCGGAGCCCACACTGCTGTGGCAAGGCTGCTTCTGGTGCCCAGCTGACTGGGTCCGTGCCTGCTCAGGCATCCTGACAGTGCCCTGTATTGCATGGTACAGACAACGAGCAAGACCAGGCCCAGGCAGGTTTCAGGACTGCAGGGACACCAGACCAACAAAGCACCCCAGCCCCCAATTCCTGGTTCCCCCACGAGGCTGCGTGTCAGAGCTGTGGCTGAAGAGGCGGTGGTTATGGTCCCAGATCAATACCAAAAAATACTGAGGATAAATACCTGTAAAGACTTGATGCAGCGGCAATGCAGGACCAAATAAGTATGAAAGATTTAAGGATCAGAAAAGTTCTGAAAGCTCAGAAGTGCTTTGTCTTCCCTGTCCTGCAAGTCAAGAGCCCCATCCTTTAACAGGCTGAGCACCTGACTCCTGCTCACTTCAGCAGGGATGGGAGATGCTCAGGGCTTGGCTGGGTCAGGCCCAGACAGCTGAGGTTTATTACCGGAAAGTTAAACCTACTTAGAGCAAAGTGTTTTCTTTGTTCTTTATTTAATGGCTTCCCACTGAGTCTGAGCTACCAAGTCTGGCTTTGAGGGGTCTGGAGTTCAGCCCCAGCTGCTTGATGTCTTATGCTTTGCTGGCATTGGCTGGATTGGCCCGTTAGGTTGAAAGCCCATAATCACCACCTTAGGATTCAAGCTTAGCTCCTGCTTTTTACACACACCCCAACAGCACTCAGAGAACACAGGCTTCCAATTTAAGCCCATTTCCAGCTCTCAGGTACTTATGTGTCTCACGTCCCCAGGATGGCAGAGCCCTTCACAACCTAGTGTCATACAGAGCCTTCAAACACTGTGGCTATTATTCCCATTTCACAGATGTGCAGAGAAACTTTCTGACTTTCCCAAGGAGCCTTTGTAGGAATAAGGAATCGAAATGTAGCTGCTTGAGTCCTGGCCCAGAGCCCTAACCACTGCACCGGCCTTCCTCTTCCCACTCAGTGTTCCAGGGTTGAAACCGTCAACCACAAAACCCAACAATCTCCAGGCTCGGGCAGTAATTAATCACCACCCAAGCCAAATGGTATAAAGCAGCACGTTCTCAGGCAAGCCAGAGCTAGCCAAAACCACTCAAATAGGCTCATGTCTCCTTACTCCGATAACAAACAGCTTACTCTAGGAGACGGAGCCATAGATTGAATTTGTGTTACGTCCCCATAAATAGGGAGAGACTGCCAAAGGCTCCCGTACGAGTCCCAACGATCTTGTGTTTTCATCGTATTTGCAGTGTTTATTGATAAATAAGAGAGGAAGGAGCCGCTAGCAGGGGGAATGAGCAGATGGCTGACGTTCGAGCTGGCTTGAAGACGCGGATTTCCGAACGATAGAGGGGCAACGATTGCAGACCATGTTTGCAAGGGGCTGTTGGTTATTGGAGGAATCCCCCGTCTTGTTTAAAAACTCCAGCCACATTCCCGTGTTCATAACCTGCCCGTGGTTTTAAAGGAAACAGGCTTCCTACCCCTGTTTCGGTAACAACGCCTTAGCTTGTGAAAGCTGAATGAACCACGTGAACTCTACTGGATACAAGAGGCCGCTGTGTGCATCTCTCAAAGCATCTCTCTCTGACCCCCTCCTCTCATAAGCGTGGTAATTCCACTGCCATCTGCAGAGCTCCGTCAGCATAAATGAGAACGGGGAAGAAGCCAGCCCGATCTATGTACACTAGATATGTGGGCTCTGAGAGCGTTGCTTGGTGGGTTTTTGGATCAAGCCCTCTATGGGATGAGAATCTGGCCCCAGGTTTGTGGTTTCTAGGGACCTGCTTCTCTTCTGTCTCACACCTGTTCAGACGAGGAAGACTCGGTTGAAGGGCTAGGGCTACACCAAGTCAAAGCAGAGGGGAGAGGGGAAAAAAAGCCCTGGGGAGAGGAAATGTTAGTGTCTCCTATTCTTCTCACCCCCCAGAACAGGCCACAAGAGCCTAGAGCATGGCTGTAAGGGGCTGGGTAAGAGCCGAGGGGTTCAGCTGAGGCAGCCTAATGCAGTTTTCCACTGGCTTCCTAAGCACCATGTGCTTGCGCTGTATTGCCATGACCTGGCTCAATCTGAGTCTTTAAAAGCACGGTCCTGCATGGGTGACGAGGAGAAGCCAGCTCCAGGCTCTCTGAACGCAGCCAGGAAGCCTGTGTCTCTTCTCCAACACCCCTCTTGGGTGGGGGCTTTGCTCCTGCCTGCTTTACAGATGGCAGCACGGAGCTAAGGCTGGCTCTGGCTACAGCAGCCTCCTCAGAGCAGACAGGCCGGCCTTGCCCTGCTCGACTCTGCATTGCTTGTCTTCTGCCCGTTAGCTGCAGCAGCTTAGGATGTGGGCTTAGCACATGTTGGGACGTGCTGGCTTGGCCGTCCCATGTTCTCGGGCTGCCCCGGGCAGTGGCACAAATGGACCGCAGGAGAGCTGTTGAGCAGGACCTGCGTGGTGCAGAAGTCATGCTACGGTGTCAGCCACTCCAAGACACAAGAGGGGACTGAAGTGAAGCATTTGGCACAGAGAGGATTGAGGAATTGGTCGGGGGGGGGGACTAAGCAGGAGCGGTGCCTGAATATGGACTGCAGGTCTGGACCTAGGAGGAGTTTAGATTTCTTTTAATGAGCTGCAGCCAGTGGGGGATGCAGGGTGTGAGACCTACGGGACATCAGGCTCTAGATGTCTCTGGCTGAGACAAGAAACTGAAGCACCCAAGCAAGTGGCATCTTTATCGTAGGCAAGTTACCCAGGGACTTACAGCCACGTCAGTAGTAGAGCTGGCCAGAGAACCTGGGAATCCTGATTTCCAGCGTCCTGCTCTCAGTACCCATCTGCACCAAAATACACTGATCTGTCTGCCAATGGCCTGTCTCTCTGCAGGGAAGGAGCTGGAGGTGGGCATGTGTGAGATCACAGCGCTGGACAGGGACCTCAGCCACCCCAGGAGGATGATTGCCAGGCAGACAGCGCGGTGCGCGTGCAGGAGGGGCCAAGTGGCTGGCACGACCAGGGCAAAACCAGCCTGTGTGGATGGTAAGAGAGCACCAGGCCTTCCCAGACTCCCTGCACTGACTGCTCCAGAAAGCTGGGAGCCAGGGTCACCTGATAGCAGCAAAACCCCAAGACCAAGGGTGACCTTCGTTCACCGTAGTCAATGAGAGCTTTGCCACCATTGGCTTGAAAGGCTCCCAGCAGATATACGCTAACACTTAGGCAGGGCCAGCTGGGGCTTCTGGGTTCTCACTGACAGCCAGGGTTGTCACAGATGTCGTGGCAGAGCTACTTTACAGATGAAGCAGCCACAGAGCTCAGACGCTTCAAGATTACAGGCCTCTCCCACGAGGGTGAAAGGAGAATCCCAAGAGCTGCTAGCAGTACAGGGCTCATGACACACAGGCAAGTAGTTCTACTTCTGTCCAGCAGAGGGTAGCAGTGACCCATCCAACCTGGCTGGCTCATCATTACCCTGTTAAAAGACACTTGGTCAGGCAAAGCCCAGCATTCAGGGCTATTGGCAGAGCAGTGTGGGGCATGGGCACAAGGAGAGTATTGCTGCCTCTCCCCAACCTGTCTCCAGGTCCACTGAGGGAGGAGGAATGAGGTGTAGGAGCAAGACATGCTCCAGGTTCATCCCCTCCCCCCCCAGCCCTCAAAAACCCTCTTCTCCTGGGGAGAAACCACACTGTGGCTGGATGAGGTGTGTGGCCCTGAAGCAGTGTGGCTGCCTCGTGGCGACTTGACTATTACAGGCCACGTTCTGCTCCTAAGTATGCAGCTGTAACCTGCCTGTCGCCACAGGGATTATAGTGCACTAGGTCCTCCAAGGCCAGACTCTCCAGGCGTCTGCGCGGGGCACCGAGTTGTTCGGCAAACCCATCCAGAGTGAGGACCTGGGTGCTGCCGGGCACCACAAAAACTCAGGGCCTCACCGGGACCAGAATTCATGAAGCTGCCCCTGATGGCAGGTGTTGGAAGAGCTGCCACAAGCTCTTGGTGCAGCCTGACTCTACAAGGGGGCTCCCCTCCTGTCCAAGACAGCTGGGCGGCAGGGAGGGAGGAGGCCAGCTCTTCTCTGAAAGCAATCCAGGAGCCCCCCCGAGCACCTGGTGCTTCTGGGAAGCCGTGCAGAGCCCCTGCTGTGTGGGCATGTGTTATACCATGTTGCTACGTGCTGTGACTTGCAGAAGCAACGTGCAGCCCCTGGCGTGGGCGGGACGTGTTGTCTCGTGATGCTGCGTGTGGCAAATGTGTCCCTCACCAGTGGGCACGTGTTGGTGTGTGTGGAGGGGGTGGGAGGGGGGTGAGAGCCCCTGGCCTTCAGGCAGCCGCTAGCTCATGTTAGTAGGTGTTAAAATGGTAGCGACTGCGCAAAACTCTCCCTAATGGTCTCGATTGTGTCTCCTGTTCTCCTCATGCTCCATCCCCTTCCTGCTTTTCATTTGGCACTTGTTTTCTCTTTTGTTCTCCTCTGTGTATCTCTCCCCTTCTCCCATGCTGTCTTTGGCTTGGCGTTCCTTAATCGTTCCTGCTGTGTTATCTTGGGCTTTTTTTTGCTTCCATCTCTTTCTCCCCACATCCTTCCTTCCATCCCCGCATACACCTATCGCCCTTCCATCCATCTTTCCC